AGATTGAGCGGGATTCAGCGGGATCAAGCCCGACTGAGCCGGACTTCGGACCAGGGCAAGACCAGAACTTGACCTCCCAGGAGTTGCATCCGAACACACACACACACACGAACACGCTTCTCGGTCGTCGCCGCGCGGCGACCCGCCACTCACACACACACACACACACACACACACACATACACACACGCACTTCTCGGTCGTAGCCTCGACGGCCACTGTGCTGCCTGTATACGCATAGAGACAACAGCACACGCACCACACACACACACTCACACTCACACTCGCACACACACACACACACACACACACACACACACACACACACACACACACACGCGCGCGCTTCTCGGTCGTGGCCGCGCGGCGACCCGCCGGCGCGGCGGGCGCCTGCACGGCCGGAGCCGGGCGCCCGCCCGAGCGCCGGCAGGAGGAGGAGGAAGGGGAAGACGGCCGGCCCCCGCACGGGGCGGTGGCCCAAGCTGCAGGGCATGGCAGCGGACAGCGGCCACGGAGGCACACACACACACACACACACACGCACGCGCACGCGCACACGCACACACACACACACACAAACACTCTTGCATCGGCGGTTAGGCAGAGTCACTGCACACACACACACACATACGTACACACACACACAAACACGCACATACACACACACACACACACACCTTTTGGCGGCGCCGCGTAGAACAGGTCAAGCGAACGCGCGCACTGGCCCGGCTCACGCAGCGAGGTAAAGCTGAATCCTCCCACATGGGATCGACAGCAACACTCACGGGGGGGCAGCGGGGAAGGGACGGACATGGGAAAGAGGGGAAAAGAGGGCAAAAGAGTGGAAGGCGAGGCAATGCGACACTGCCGAACCGAAGCAGCAGGCGAGGAGACGCTCAGCGTGGAGGTGGCAACGGCACAAAGACAGCGCAGGGAGCCTGGGCCAGCGAGAAGGCCCATGGGGAAGACGACACGCCGGCATGCGGCCCGCGCGCAAGGAGGGGAACTTAGAGCAGTGAGGCGGAGCGTGGCAAACGGGCGGTGCAGCCTGATCCCTAAAGGGTCTTTGTTTTTCTTTCGCGGCCAGCTGGTCCAACGCAGCAAGAGGAAAAGGCAGGACGCAGAGACCACACGCACAATTTTTCGCCGCAGCGCGGCAGAAGCAATGCGCACGCGAGCGCCAGTGGCCCGCAGACCCCACACACACTTTTGGCGGTAGCGGTTTCGCGCGCAGCGACGAGGCGGAGAAAATGCAACAGTCAGAACAGCGCGCGCGACGGCGGGGCCCTCAACATCGCCTAGGATGCGACCCTACCGGCATCGGCCATCTGGGCATAAAAGGCAGGGAGGGCACACGCGAGACCATGGGAGAGGCTCACCACGGCCGGTTTGAGAAAACGAGAACGCCATACGCCGTCCGGGCGTGGACAGCGTGGAGGAAATTGCACACCCGTGAGGCCGCCCGAAAGTCGGCATGAGGAAAGCGAGCGAACACCAGCAAACGACCACACACACACACGCACACACGCACACACATACATACATGTATACATACATACATAAATACATACATACACACATACATACATACCTACATACATACATACATGCATACATACATACATACGTACATACATACATACATACATACATACATGCATACATACGTACATAGATACATACATGCATGAATACATACATACATGCTTGCATGCATGCATACAGACATGCATACAGGCAGACAGACAGACATACATACATGCACATACACATATACGTACTTGCATGCATGCATGCATGCATGCATGCATGCATGCACACACACATACATACATACATACATACATACATACATACATACATACATACATACATACATACATACATACATACATACATACGTACATACTTACTTACTTACATACATATATGCATGCATGCATGCATACATACATACATGCATGAATACAGACATACAGACAGACAGACAAACAGACAGACAGACAAACAGACAGACAGACATGCATTACATACATACGTACGTATAGACATACATACGTGCGTACGTACGTGAATACATACAGACGTACGCAACCACATACGTACATACATACATATATACACATACATACATACATACATACATACATACATACATGCATGCATACATACATACATCTACACATACACACACACATACATATAACAACTATATGTCACACGCGTGTGAATGTGTATAGATACATACACATTGAAGGTCGTGGCCTCGCGCGCGGCGACGAGGTGGACAAAGACACCCAAGCAACTAGAGAACGCGAGTGGCTGGCCCCTCAGATTGGGCAGGGATCCAAGAAAGATCGACCATGCCATGCGCATACCCAGGCATGGGCAGCGAGGGTGAAGCAGGGCAGGATGGCAGTCAAGCTGGTGCGCAATTATTACGGCCAGACGGCAACGGCGAGGCAACAAGGGAAGTGGGACAGTAGCAGGCAGTCGGACAGCGACGACCTGAGCAACAGAGCTTAGCCAAGTAAGGCAGGGAGTGGTCCTCACACTGCCACACACACACACTCATACACATAGTGTTTGGCGGTCGCGACCTCGCGCGCAGCGTCGAATCGGAGTAAGGTCGCCCCCACAAACTCACACACACACACATGACAATGGTGGAACGGGATGTCGTCGAACTACCGGTCCCGTCCCTCTCTCCCGCCCTCCAGCTCTCCCCTGCAGTTCCTAAGAGTTCAGATGTATGTACATGGAGGTACGCTTGCACATCACTATACGGGCGTCTTCGTTGGTCAGGGGCTCATACGTTGACTAGCGGCCCCCTACCGATTGGCATGCGGCACCCTACCCAACCTCACTACCTGATCGGCCGCCCTGGTGGACCCACGCACACCACACACACACACACACTCGATGTCCAACACAAACACACACGCACACACACACACATACACAAACACACACGTTTCCAGCCATGCACCCAACAGTTCCAAGCACAAAAAATCCGACCAATGACTTGTTGCACTCTGGATATGCAAGCAAAGTGGCGCAAACACCGTGGTGCAATGTGGTGCAAGCTATGTGGTGCAAACTACGTGGTCCAAGCTAAGTGGTCCAAGCTAAGTGGTCGAAGCTGTGTTGTGATATATATATATATAGAATATGTATGAGTATGGTGCAAGCTATGTGCTGAAAGCTACAGTCAAGCTACTGCAAATAAGGAACGCCAAATGACGGACGAACACCCCTATTGGCCCCACCAGCGCCTAGGTGCACGGAGAAAGCTAGAGGACCAACCGTTGAAAGTTGTACGGAACAGCGAGCCCCTTCTGAACCCGAACTAATCATTATGTCAGCGTCTTGACTGTATGTGGTGCAAGCTACGTGGTTCAATATATGTGGTGCGAGCTGCGTGGTGCAAGCTACGCGGTGCAAGCTATGTAGCGCAAGCTACGTCAGAAACGCCGAGCACACCATGGGCACTACGTGCAAACGCCACGCACAAAATGCGCACCCCGCGTGCGACGCATCCGTACTTCTCGCAGACATCATTGATGAGCACCCTGGCTTCTTCCAGCCAGTTCTGGACGGCCTTGGGCCTGCGTGCAGACGCGCTCCTTCCTTTTGGGCCCGCGGCGTGAGCTCAGTGCGCCTTTGAGGCACTTCTCCTGCAAACAACGACCCCCCCCCCACGCTCATTGCCCCCCGTTGCCGTCCGCCCGATGGCCCACCTTCAAAGAGCCCCCGCTTGAAAGGCGCAGAAGGGATTTGAGCAAAAGGTCTGATGTCTGTGAGCGAAGCGCCCGAGGGTGCTTGCGTCATGAACCGCGAGTTCGGTTTCACATCAAGAGTGGAGGCAGACGGGGATACTGGAGTGCGCAAGTAATGTTGGCGCCAGGTCACTCCCAAGGGCTCGACTTGGTCGAAACGGCAGGTCTATCGAGGAGGTGAGAACACAAACGATCGCGTTGCAATCGTTTGTGGCCAGAATTGTTGTAGTGCGCTGGCTCCCGTTTAAAGTTGTAATGAAATCATTTGTCGCTTGTTTCGTTGCAGCGCAATCGATTGTGCAATGCGTATACCCGATGACTTTTGGCACGTCGCTACCGAATGACACATGATTGCACTCCTCGGGATGGCCATTTCGCGAACATTCAATAGATGGCGCAATGTTCTGTGTGCAACGGTTTAGCTGGGAGCCTCTCGAAGTTGCAAACGTTTGGCCGGTCCAGCGTTGCAGTTTTGCAGGTTGCCAGACTCGCCAACGCACGTTTGCAAGTTTGCTGGTTTGTCGAGCGATACATGGCATCTGTTCGTAGCGTGTCTCACGCGAAGGCGTGCGCTCCATGCGTGCGATTTGGCGAATCAATGGACTCAGCGCGTTCAAATGCAATTCCCGAGGCCGCGGGAGCTTCGTGCCGTGTCCCGAGCAGTGGCGATAATGTATGTGCATCGATACACATATGTATATGTATATACACACATCTATATATACAGACAGACAGACACACAGACAGACATCCATACCTTCATACATTCATACATACAGACAGACAGACCGACCGACCGACAGACAGACAGACAGACGTGCATACATGCCTACGCACATGCATGCATACATGAAGACAGACAGACAGACAGACGGGCACAGGAGCGGCCACCGGCCGCGGCGGAGCGGCAGGCAAAGAGCGCTGCGCTTCTCGGATGCCGGGGGGGGGCCTCCCGGGAGGGGGTATTTTCTGTTATATACATATATCTATATATCTATCGCTCGTACCCAATTGTTACACCTATATATGTAAATTATACATAGATATATAGCTATGTCTATATATGTATCTATATAAATATATATATATATATATATATATACATACATACATACATACATACATAAAAAAATATATATGTATACATACATACATATATATATATCGCCCGCGCAGACCGCCGGAGCGATCGAGCCCTGCCCTCCCCCACGCGCCACTGGCCTTGGCCGCCTTGATCAGGATGCCCAGCGCTTTCGTGCCCACGAGGTCCCCGATCTTCTTCACCTCGGGGGGCTTTGCTGCGGAGGGAGCGGTGGAGGAGGGAGATGGGACGCGCAAAGACATACTGGTATTGTACTGTATGTCCTCCTTGGAGGCGGGCGTCAGACCCGAACATATAGTATGCCCATCTTGTAGTACATAGTTTCCCGAGCGGTGTGGCCACAAAGCGCCCGCCATGACGCATATACTATGAGATTTCTCGGTGCGCGCGTCGCCCGTTGGGGGGGCAGCGCGCAGATAGTAGTGGTATTTTGGAGTGGAGCCAGGAGAGGGGGAGGGGGGGGAGGGGAAAGGGAAAGGCCGAGGGAGCAGGGCCGAGGGCGGGAGAAGGGAGAAAGGCAAGCTAGGTGCGCTCGCGTCATATGTGACATCCTACCCCTCCCTCCCATCCCTTACCATGGCGCAGATCCCCTCTCTACTCGCACAGTCGGATGTCGAGCAGGGCAATGATCCCGAAAGGGTACGCGATGCATTGTAGAGAACGGCATGGCATGGCGTAGAAGAGTACCGCAAAGCGTAGTATCAACCTAGCATTGCATTGCACGCCGTGGCATGGCACGGGAAATGACGCCAGCGCTGCAGCGGGAGCACGAGTCGAAACGAGCGGAAGCGCGGAAATGAGGCCAGCGCTGCAGCGGGAGCACGATTCGGAACGAGCGGAAGCACGGAAATGAGGCCAGCGCTGCAGCGGGAGCACGATTCGGAACGAGCGGAAGCACGGAAATGAGGCCAGCGCTGCAGCGGGAGCACGATTCGGAACGAGCGGGGCCCGAAAATGAGGCCGGCGCCTCAGCGAGAGCAACATTTTGAAAAAAATGCAGGCGAAAACCCAACTCCGGGGAAAAGTGTGTAAAAAAACAGTACGCGGGGGGGGGGTCGGACACTTTCAACCGTCATCAGGGGAAGAGGGAGAGTAGTATTCATATTGAGTAATTGTGGAGAGGTGGAGGCGGGAGGCAAGGAGGCGGGGTGACGAGGGGGGAAAGGGGGGGGGGTCTTCCGGGAGGCATGGCTTCGCCGAATAGCGCACGCCTGAAGAGCTTCACCAGCCTGAGCTCAGCGACACTGACGCGTTCGAGGCTCCATTCGCCTCCCGCCTCTCTTTCCCCCTTCCCTTCGACCTCGCTCCCTCCCAACTCTCTCCTTTTCTCAAGGCGAGCTACGGCGAGCTATAGCCAGCCGTCAAGACAATCCAACGTCGGCGGAGAGAAGGGGAAGGAAGGCGACAAGAAAAGAACGACGAAAACGACAACGACGACGAAGTGGGGGAAAGAGAGAAGGACGATGAGGATAGAGGTGCCCAGGGACACACATATTAAATAGACAAATCCCAGGATTCCCTATATGCTCCTACATTGTCTGGGTTTTCGTTTTCTTGCCCCCCACTTCCCATATCTTCCCGTATCTTCCTGGGAGTCGCCGATAAAGTGTGTCTGTGTGTGACTTCCTCTCCTGACAGGACGAGGAGGAGGGAGGAAGGAGGACGGAGGAGGCCCGCTTGAAGCGAATCCGACCTCAGAAACGCCTCGCCGACGTCGGCGCGCTTCGCACTCTCTGGGCCGCCGTCCCTGGAGCGGCGCTCCCGAGCGCGCGCGCGCGCGCGCGAGCTCTCGCAGTGCTGCTTTTTGCGAGCGGGGCAGCCTGTGCACGTAAGACGAAGGCAGGACGAGGACAGAAATCCTGCCAGCCCTCTGGGGGTAGGTGGTCTAGAACGGTTTCTCTTCCAACTCCTCCCTCTTCACCTTCGGGGAGGGATGCATCTCTATCCCTGATTAATATACACCCCCTCCCTCATCTGGCCGGCGGCCAACCAGGAACCATGCCGACTCCATGAGGGCCCGCCCCCCACCATCCCTGTCAAAAAACAAGACAACCCGCACTCTGCCTCCACATTTGGAGCATGCGCGGCCAACCCGATGCGGCCCCCCCACACCCGTCCCTGTCAAAAAGCAATGCAAAGTACACTTTGGGGCAAAGTCTTCAGTCATGTTCGTGAGGCCCGCGAACACTTTGTAGTGTTTTTGACAGGGACGGCGGGGGTGCCAGCATATTCCCTGCTGTGCGCAGGACTACCATCCCTGACAAAAAAAATACAACATGCACCTCGCGGCTAAATCTGGATCATGCGCGACCATCCCGCGATCACTGTCAAATGGTTTTTGACAGGGACGGCGGGGGTGATGGCGCGTGGCCTGCTGTGCGCAGGCCCACCAAACACAATGATGGGCATTGGTTTTCGACAAGGATGGCGCGGGGGCCAGCATGTTTCCCGATGTGTGCTGTCACGTGCGCAGGCGCACCTGACGCACTTTGCACGTGTCCCGAACATGGCGCACCTGGCGCGGATGGTGTGTGCGGCACACCTGGCGCACTCGAAGCGCGTGGCGCATCTGGCGCACCAGGCGTGCCTGGCACGCGCGGGCCCCAGGGGTGCCTGGCGCGCGTGGCGCCCCTAGCACGCGTGGCGCACCTCGCCCAAGCGTCGCGCACCTGGGGTCGGCTTTGGTTCCCGTTAGCTGTCCATCCAAAAACGACCGCTGAACATGCTCAGGCTCGTGTGTTACTTCTGTGTTGGGAGGGCGGGTGGGAGTGAGCTAGACGGCTTGCGGGCGGGTGGGTAGCTTGACCCCTCCCCCTACACCCTACCCTAGACCTGGAGTGGGGGGTTCGCGAATAGTTGGAGCGTCCAAGATGGCCGAAGATGGCTCCAGAAGGGCCTCAGAGAGCTCAAGCTGACCTCCAGGATGACTCAAGATAGCGAAAGGGCAAGGTCAACAACAAAAAACTGACAAAACAGGTCGGGAATCTCCGGGAGCCGGCGAGCCTGGACCGTAGACGGGCCAACGGCGATGCAGGCAACGGCGATGCAGGTTTAGGCAGTGTGGGATCGCGAAGCTCGCGCTTTCCTACAACTCGCTGTGTCGTGTTCGCTCGATCCCTGGCCAGGCCCATCCTGAACCCAGCAGCTGTATTTACGCCCTCCCGGCCGAGCCAGAAGGGCGTGGCGTATGCACCGCTGCCGGGTTCAGGAGGGGCGTGGCCAGGGAGCAGTGGATTTGTGTAGATCTCGTCGCCCTAGGAAAAGTGTGGCTCGCGGCTCCCTGCAATCTGGTTCCCAGCAGCACCAGTGAGCAACATCGCCGTACGCAGGAGAAGGAGGAGGAGGGGGAGGGGGATGGAAGAGGAGGAGGAGGAGGAGGAGGAGGGAGGAGAGAGAGGGGGTGGGGAGGAGAGGAGGAGGAGGGAGGGAGGAGGAGGGAGGAGGGAGAGGGAGGAGGGAGGAGGGAGGGAGGGAGGGAGGGAGGAGGGAGGAGGATGAGGAGGAGGAGGAGGAGAAGGAGGAGGGGGAGGAGGGAGGAGGAGGGAGGAGGAGGGAGGAGGGAGGAGAAGCCGCAAGTACCTGCGAGGGTTCGCCAGCGAAGGTCGGGGAAGAGGAGAGGTTCTCGAGGAGGGGAGGGGAGGCAGGAGGGGGGCGGCAGGAGGGGCCGACGGTGAGAAGTCGCACTGCACTCTCAGGCGCAGATGGGAAATGCATCCCTGTCCTCCTGCTTGCTACCCCTTCTCCCATCGTCGTCGTCGTCGTTGTCGTCGTCGCCACCCTCGTCGTCGTCGGCGTCGTCTTCGTCGTCATCGTCGTTTTCTTCGTCGCCGTCGTCGTCATCACCATTATCACCCACCACCACCACCACTCCGATCATCATCATCATCATCAGCAGCATCATCATCATCATCGTCATCATCAGCATCATCGTCATCATCGTATCAGCATCACCATCACGATCATGATCATGATCATCAAATACACAATCGCCATCCCCAGAATGATCATCATCATCAGCAGCAGCATCGTCATTATCAGCATCATCATGATCATCCTCATCATCAGCAGCAGCATCGTCATTATCAGCATCATCATCAGCATCATCATCGTCGTCATCATCATCGCCATCATCGCCATCATCGCCATCATCATCATCATCATCAGCATCATCATCACTCTCACCACCATCATGATCGTGATCGTCACAATGACCATCACCATCACCATAATGATTATCACCATCACCATCATCATAATCATCACCATCATCCTCAGCATCATCATAATCATCATCATCAAAATCCCCATCCTCATCACCACCATCATAATCACCATCGACGTCGTCATAATTGTCATCATGATTACTGGTGCAACCATAACCATAACCATCCTCATCTCCAGCCCGAGCATTATCGTCCTCATCCACATCCTCAGCATCATCATGAGCATCAAAATCAGCATCATCATGAGCATGATCATTATCATAATCAGAATCACTATCATCATCATCATCATCATCATCATCATCATCATCATCAGCAGCAGCATCAGCAGCAGCATCAGCATCATCATCGCCGTCGGTATCACAACCATGATCACCCATCTCAGAAAAGGTACAATGTCATATATATATGAATGTATGCGTATGTACAGCATGGTGTCCCGCGTCGGCACCATCATCATCAGCTGCATCATCGTCCTGATCAGCTTTGTCGTCGTCATCATCATCAGTATCAGCATCATCATCAGCATCATTATCAGTATCGTCGTCGGAATCATAAACCTAATCACTCACCTCAAAAGCCGATGCAATGTCATATATATATATGTGTGTGCGTATGTATAGCATGGTTTCCCGCATCGGCAACGTCATCATCAGCAGCATCATCGTCCTATCAGCATGGTCGTCGTCATCATAATCAGCAGCATCATCATCGTCGTCAATATCAGCATCACTCGCATCAGCATCATCATCACCATCATCAGCGTCGTCATCATCGTAATCATGATCAACATCTGTATCGGATTCGACATCATCATCATCGACAATATCCTCAGCAGTGCAATCATCATCATCATCATCATCATCATCCTTATCATCATCATCATCATCATGATCATCATCATCATCATCTTCATCATCATCATCATAATCATCATCTTCATCATCTTCATCATCGTCATCACCACCATCACCATCACTAGCGTCATAATCGTCGTCATCATAATCAACTTCACCCTCTAAATCATCATCATCAGCATCATCGGCATCTATAGCATCATCATCCTCATCATCATCATCATCATCGTCGTCATCGTCAGCGATGTCATCACCGACATCGTCGTCGCTACCGTTATCCGAAACATCCGTATCAACAACAACTGCACCATCAACATCCACACCGTTGTTCCCCTCATCATCCTCATCATCAACAGCATCGTCATCTGCAGCAGCGGCATAATCATAATCGTCAGCATCGTCATGAACTTCGTCATCGTGATGATGATCATCATCATCATCGTCATCGTCATCATCATCATCGTCGTCGTCATCAGCATCATCAGCATCAGCATCATCATCATCATCAACATCAACATCATCATCAGTGCCATCAGACCCATCACCATCACCAGCAACATCATCAGCGGCAGCAGCGTCGTCATAATCGTCGTTCTTATCGTCAGTCGAAGCATCCATACCAACAACAAACATCATAGATTTCATCGTTTCCCTCATCAGCCCCATCATCAGCAACATCATCAGCAACACCATCAGAGGAATCAGTGTTACTATCATCATCAACAACATCATCCTCACCATCATCATCCTCGCCGATACCATCACGATCACCATTATCAGCATCAGCATCATCAGCGGCAGCATCAGCATATTAACAGCATCAGCATCATCAAAATCACCATCACCATCATCATAAGCATCAGCATCAGCATCAGCATCAGCATCAGCATCAGCATCAGCATTATTTGCATCATCATCAACATCAGTATCACCATCATCATAAGCATCAGCATCAGCATCATTTGCATCATCATCAACATCATTATCACCACCATCACCATCATCATCAACATCATCAGCATCAGCATCATCATCATCGTCATTATCATCAGCAGCAGCAGCATCATCATCATCATCATCATCATCATCACCATCATCATCATCATCATCATCATCATCATCATCATCATCATCATCATCATCATCATCATTCCCCTGCGGCCCAACGCCGCCACACACGCCCTCCTCGTGCCCAGGCCTCCTCGCGCGCGCTCTGGGACACAACGCCGCGGTCGGCGGGAGGGCGGGCGAGGCGGCGGACCTCGCGCGAGCTGCCGGGGAGCACGGCGCGTGAGCGGCAGGCAGCCCGAGCGCAGCCCGGCCGACGCGTCAGCGGCCCAGAGCGGGAACCCGTGAGGGACGGGGCCCCGAGGACGAGAGGCGCCACACAATGCGAATGCAACATGGGGCCCTATCCCTCGGGGCCCCGTCTCTGAGGAGGGGGAGAAGGAGCAGCAGCAGCAGAGCGTCAGAGAGGAGGAGGAGGAGGAGGAGGAGGCTTTATTGTGATGTTTGTTGATTGGACTCCACCCCAACGCCTCCAGATCCCGGCGACCGCAGGGGCGCTCTGCTGCAACGGAGGGGGGCGCAGCAGAGGATACTGTACAAGCACGAGGGGCATGGTCCGCCCCACCCCGAAGAAGAGACTGACCAACGCAGGCCCCCCGACAGTGCGCGAAGAGAACCACGAGGAGCACGCCGAGGACGAACAACATGGGCAGCTAAGGGTGGCCGCCCGCAGCTGCCGCCGGCAGCAGCCCGGGCCGCTGCTCCAACGTGGGGCGCGGGGCGCCCGATGATGCGGTTCGCGCGCTCCATGACGCTGAGAGCCGCCCTCGACGAAGAGGCCACACCGTCAGCTGCGGGAACAAACGCCGCGGACACAACTACGGCAACCGCACTAGGACCAGCCGCTCCAACCGCGCAACCGCCAGTGTCACCACCATGAGCACCAGCACGGCCTAGAGGAGGGACAGCGGCCGACGGCGCGGCGGGGCGCCCGCCGTCAGCCCACGAATCGCCCTCGTCCATGTCGTTGTCGTCGTCGCCGTCTCCAGCCTCAGCGCAAGCATCTGCCGCGCCTGCAGCAGGGGGCGCAGCCGCGGCGCGCCGCTCGGCGAGACGACGACGTCGGCGCCTCCGCCGCTCAGCCTTTTCGCCGCGGACGCGGCGGGCGAAGCGGCAGGCGGCGCATCGGCGTCGTGGGCAGCAGCAGCAGCAGCGCCAGGCGCGGCCGCAGCCGTCGGCTTGTCCCCGCACGCGAAGAGCGTGGCGGAGGAAGCCGACTGTGCGACGGCGGCGACAGTGCGCCGCGACACCCCAGCAGCCACCGCGGCCTGCACGGCGGCCTCAACGAGGGAGGCACCGAGGAGAGCCGAGTGAGCCCCTCGAGGCCCCGACATACCGCAGCGCCTCGCCGAGGAGGGGGCGCGCGCGCGGGCGAGGCCGTGCAACCGCTTGAGCCGAAATGAGAGGAGGAGGAGGAGGACGACGACGACGAGGAGGACGAGGAGGAGGAGGAGGAGGAGGACGAGAAGGAGGGAGGAGGATGAGGGGGAGGAGGGAGGAGGAGCGTGGGAGGAGACACGAGCTGGCGCTTCTTGCCGCCAGGAGGTCGAGCTGCGTCGGAAGCGGGGCGCCGCGCCTCGGCCTGATCCTTCTTGGCGATGTCGCTGAAGCAGGCGTTCGGGCTCTCGTCGTTGCAGTAGGCCGCGAGGCACTTGGAGATGCCCACGCAGGAGCAGTTGAACTCACCGACGATCCACTTTTCGTCCTGCGGATACCAAGCGGGAAGGATGGGGGGAGGAGCAGGAGGCGGAGAAGGAGGAGGCGGAGGACAAGGAGAAGCAGGAGGAGCAGGAGGAGGAGGAGGAGAAGGAGGGACGATGGAGGAGTAAGAAGGGAGGATGGAGGAGAGAGAATGGAGGAGGATGAGGAGGATGAGGAGGATGAGGAGGTGAAGGTGGAGGTGGAGGAGGAAAAGGTGGAGGAAGAGGCAGGAGGCAGGAGGGGAAGGGGGGAAACAGGAGGCAGGAGGCCGCGACCACGACCACGACAACGACCACGATGACGACGACGGCGACGGCGACGGCGACGGCTACGGATCCGGCGACGGCGACGGCGACTACGACGACGACGACGACGACGACGACGACGACGACGACGATTACGACGACGACGACGACGACGACGACGACGACGACGACATCCGCCACCTGGGGCGGGACGGCGACGAGGGCAACGGCGAGGGGAAGACGAGCACGACGACGGGAACGGCGGCGAACACGGCGGCGGCGGCGGCGGCGCGACACAGGCGGCTGGGGATGCGCCGCCTTGGCCGCGGTGCCCACGGGGGAGGAGTTGATGAAGTCGGAGGTCCACCAGAGCGGGATCGGCTCGGCCTCTCCGTGGGCAGGTCAGCAGAAGCTACGTCCAGGCGGGATATAGCCCAGACGAGGGCCCAACAGTACAAACGGACTCACCCCGCGCGGCTTAAGGCATCCGATCAGGAGAGGTTAAGTACTTGAGGGACGCAAAAACGACCCTACCCTGGGTTACAAGTGCGTGGTCTGTAAACCTCCTGGGAACCCTCAAAGCCTAGAACCGCCAGGACGCGGCACATCACGCAGGGTTTACCCTGTCAGCCCACAGGAGTTTCGGCGCACAGCGCCTCGTAAACCAGGGTAGGAGCGTTTTTCTGTATGCCCTTGAAGTACGGACGGAGGCTGCCCCGACGGAGACCGAACAGTCCGTGCGGATCTCTTCTGCATGGACGCAGCATCCTCCGCGCAGGGGGGCGCAGGCGCCGCGCCGGGGCTCGGGGGCTTCGGGGGCAGCGGCGGCGACGGGGCGGAGCGGGAGAGGCAGCGGCGGGCTCCTCTGCCAGGGGAGGAGGGCCTCACTGCCCCGACTGTGAGGACAGCCCAACCCACCCGACACCCCCAGCCAAGGACCCCCCCATTGCCGACCTGGTCCAAAGGGTCCTGGCTGGGGGGGGAGGGGGGGCTGGTTCCCTGGAAGACCATCCACACCTCCAGCCAGGACCCCCGCTCCCGACCTGGTCACCAAGGGCCCCCTGGCTGGGGGTGGGGGTGGGTTGTGCTGTCCTCAGCGACGGGGGAGGGGAGGGGAGGGGAGGGGTCCGACGGAAGAGGGGGGGGAGGGAGAGGGAAGCAAGATGGCTTTTGTTGCTCATCGTGTCAATGAGCGGGTCAGCAAGTTCCGACGAATCTGCGCCCATGGCTCTGCCACGGCAAAGCGCGTAGGTCGCTGGTATATGTTGGAGGTGGCGGGGGAGACCGCACCACCTCGGACAGAATCACCGTCGGAGCCCCCGTGCCGCACGTGCCCAAGGCGGACCCGCTTCACAATGCGGGGCGCGCCGCATACTAAACATGGGTAGTGGGAGAATCCCCCCCCCCTGGCGCCAACGATTGGGGGTCCCCTGCTGGAAAACAACAACAACAACAACAACAACAACAACAACAACAACAACAACAACAACAACAACAACAACAACAACAACAACAACAGCAGCAACAGCAACAGCAACAGCAACAGCAACAGCAACAGCAACAACAACAGCAACAACAACAACAACAACAACAACAACAACAACAACAACAGCAACAGCAACAGCAACAGCAACAGCAACAGCAACAACAACAACAACAACAACAGCAACAACAAAAACAGCAACAACAACAACAACAACAACAACAACAGCAACAACAACAACAACAACAACAACAACAACAACAACAAGGACAACAACAACGACAACAACAACAGAAACGGCTGGCGGTGATCAGGCCGCTATGGGGCCCATCTGCGCTGCCGAGCGGGGTGAGGCGCCAGCTTTGACCGTGGCGTGGCGCGCACAGCTGGGCGCCCTGCGAAACGAGGCGCCGCCTTGGGGCGCCCCCCGCAGCGGCCCAGAAGATGCACAACAACAGAAGAGGTGCCAACAGTTCACGGGGTCCGCGCGGGAGGAGACTAGCACTGGCCCCAAGTGGGGCAGGGCGGCGCCACTTTGGTGTCCGGGGCGTGGACATTTTCAGGGGACCCAGTGTTGAATGGCGCAATCATATTCACCGTTGAAGGAAGCCCCACATCCCAGGGGGGAGGGACCATCCGCGGCGAAGTAGTCCGTTTGATGAAGCCAGGGGCCATCAAGGTCGTCAAGGAAATCGGGTCATGATGGTAGAGCCGCTGGAGGTGGTCCTACATGTGCGTCAGTACCTTGTCCTTCATGGCTGGTGGTGAACGGGTTGGTTTTCCATTTTGGATAAGCTCTTTACATCGGAGGTCTTCGAACCCGTCCACCGCAGCTCGG